CAACTGACCAATCGTCAGTGCACTTAATAATGCATTTTCAATTTTTTTCTAATTAGGAAAAATAAACTGATGAATTTCCTGCTGCAGTTAATGGTAGGCCAAAATGTATTGTTGATTCTCTAGATAAAAAAGCTTCAATGAAAGGTTTTCTAGGAACAATGTGTAAGAACGGAAAACTGGGACTTCTGACAAGTTCCCTCAGGCAATCGTAGATGAAAAACGAATTTGTGGGAAATCCCACATCATCAATAAACTAAACAAAAAAGTCATCAACTAACGTGACCTTACTCTATGCGATACATCAAGTACAGTGAGAAGGGAAAAACTGAAAATTATAAAAAAACAATGTGTATGCGGTAAATTATGGATTATCAAGGGTAATTATATACTTGATAAAACTTCATACTAAAGTATCATGATGATTAGGAATAAAAGTATAGTATTGCTCTGAAAATGTGGCCATTTTCGATCATTGAATTGCTTAGGTCATACTTTTAACAAATGGCCGGCTAGATATGCTATGCATTTAGGTCGGCGTAGGACCATATCTCGAATGAGATGAAAGTAAGCAATAAAAACATAGAGATGATCTCCAATATAGACTAAGGAGTCCTTGGTTCAGCCTATCCAATGTCTCAGAATGGAGAAGGAAAATAAGGCTATTAAATAATATAGTTATTAACTTCCATGTAAGTAAAAATGCAACATTACCAATTATATCATGGCTTTTAGCACGATTACCTGATTTAAATGTGAATCGTTGTATGAGAAAGCTTGAGATAAGTTATAAGGCCCAGCCTATCGGCAACAGGTAATCACATCGAGAGTGAAAACAATTTAAGGCCAAGTAGGCTAGGTCAAATAGTAATAAATTTGAATGCCCAATTTCTGTTGTAATAGCTTGGAACAGTTTGGAAAAAGTCCCTCAATTTCGAATAAGAAAAAATGGGATAGTGGAGATTGTTAACTCTCCACTATTTAGCATGCTGCTTTACACAACTATAACTGATATTGAAGCTGGATTTGACAAGAAAGATAGAACCATTCAGCTGCCCTAAAGACTTAAAAAATTTGTTACGATGGTTATTTAAATATTTTATAGCTTCCGAAACTTCAGAAGGTCTTATGGGGAAAAAATAAGCCTATCGCAGTTCTATAGCAACAATAATTTATACCTCAGTCGCTTATACATTATGTATGAAGGAAATGATGGTAAAAAATAACCACAAACCTAGCCAAGGGAGAAATAATACTGTATTCTATTTTATTATAGTCGTATTTGAGTAGGGTTTCGAGACTACCAGTAAATCAGTGTAATGAGATGTATTCACCCTAT